TACTGAAATCAATCTATTTTTTCATGATATTCTAATTTTATGACCAGCACCTGTATATACAGGCTCAAATATAAACATACATACACCCGTTTGATAATTAGATACCTTCCTTTGAAGAGGTTGTAAAGACAACTAATCAACAGGTTTCAGTCAATATTCTTGCGGCACAGTTTATAATTCCTCCTGGTGGAACCGGTCAGAGGTGGAAAGAGTGCTAAAAAATTGTAATTGCGTAAAAGGATCTTTACTTTGCCTAAATTTTACTCAGAGTAAAAGTAAAATTACCCATCTCAAAATTTACTCAAGTAAAAGTACAAAATTACTTCATTTAAAATGTAATTTGAGTAAAAGTTACTTAGTTACTTTGAGTTATTTAATGCAAAAAAGGATGAGTCATGAATCAAATTGACCACAAGGTGTTTCAATCGATTTCAAGGCATATTTCAGTGGACATCCACACTTGCAAAAGATCAACTGGGCTAAGGAACATACTTCCTCACAGCACAAGGACAGTCACAAGCTGTACCATAAAGTGCAAACAATTTTCAATTCTACTGTCCAACAGAAAACACCATGATAGGAATAAAGAAATTTAAACTAAATTGTAAAGTTTTCAAAATGTACACAAAATTAAATGCCCAAAAGATACCAGAAATGAAACTAAAAGGCAACAGGATCCCACTGTTAATAACAAGCTCCTCATTTAATGATTTTAAATGACATTTGTTTTACTTTAATAGTGATTTTTAACTGTCACTTATTTTTTTACATCAATTGTTTATGTTTGAATTGTGTAAATAAAGTGCTGTTAAAAGTCAAAAGTCTTCTTCTATTAATTAATGAAGATTAATTATGGTGATTAAGTGTCGGTTCCGTGACACAGGGGTTTAAATTTCCGGCTGCATTAAATTTTTTCATCATCAGTATTTTATTTGATTTTTTTTTACTCAGTAACGTGAGGGGGTTGTAAATGTAGCGAAGTAAAACTACTTAGGTTAAAATTTACTCCAGTAAAAATAAAAATTACATATTTCAAAAACTACTCAGAAAATTACAAATTACTCATAAAAAGTACTCAATTACAGTAGCGTGAGTAAATTTAATTCGTTACTTTCCACCCCTGGAACTGGTAAAGTTATTTCAAACTGGTTGAGTTTTACAAACCAAGCTTTTAACCCCAGGCTGTGATTTTATAGTACATTAGTCATTCTAGAAGCTTGAATATAATCCTTCTTTATCCATTTTTTGTGTTTGGATTCATCTCTCTGATGGAAAATCTACCTCTGTTCAGGTTTAAACCCTGTAGTCATTTACAGGAAGTGCAGCTGGATGATTTGAAAGTAGTCCAACCTACTTCTCAAACAAATCTCTCAGCATCATTCTACCTCCTCTGTGCTTTGGCAGTTAGGGCTGTTTGACCATACGGTAATTATTTCCCAAGAGGTATTTGATTTAATTATGTTGGAGGCATTCATCCATTTTCTCCCACTTAATTCTTAACAGGGTTGCGGTGGGGTGGGTGCCTATCTCCGGCAGTCTATTGGCGAGAGGCAGGGTACACCCTAAACAGGTTGCCAGTGTGTTGCAGGGCAACATAGCGACACACAAAGACACACAACCATGCACGCACACACACACACACACCTAAGGACAATTTAGAGATGCCAATTTTGGACTGTGGGAGGAAGCCATAGTACCCACACATGCACAGAGAGAACCCCAGGCCAGGAATCGAACCCGGAACCTTCTTGCTGTTACCCACTGCACCACCATGCATGTTGGAGACAAAAATGTTTTATTATCCTGTCACTACAGAGGCTATAGCATCTTCAGGTTTTGCAACATTCTGACCTTATAATTCAGGGTGACCATCTGGTTGTCCATGGGGGTAAAAATATGGGGGGGGGGGGGGGGGGGGGGGACGGTTGGTGCTTCTCTCCAGCTGTCTATGGGCGAACGAACAGATCACCAATCCATCACAGGGCAACACGGAACTACTCAATGCAGATATACCACAGGAAAAATCATTATGTTATTTAATTCAGAAAAAAAAATATATTCTGGTCCTATTTTTTAAAATTTTTTCTAAATTTTCTATTTTAAAATTAATCCTTTATTATTATTTTTAGATGAGGTTTTACAGACTACATTCTTTTAAAAATACCTTTTAAAAATCACATTCTTCACTTTTATTGGTCCAGGAAAAACGCTTCATCATCCATGCACACCAATAGAAACGATTCTTCATTCCTCACTCCAGGGTAAAGCCCGCCATGATGATACGATCTGTAAAAACACAATCTTGATCAAAGAATTTCAGTTGAGACCAAACATTGATCACAAATTTAGGCTTAAAGTTGTCTTCTCTAACAGTCTTAACTTTGGACTTATTAAAATACATGACTTAGCCTTAAATCAGTTTTTTTTTTTTATTCCTGGACTGTTTTAATGATCAGTAAACAATAAACTATGACGGATTAAAGAAAATAAAGTTTCCTCAACTGATGGATGTCCGTGTTGCTTCTTCATTGAGTGATGTAAACCCTTTGCAACTTATCGGTGTATAAGTCTGTGCTCTGCTGTGGTATGTGTAGGTAAAAAAGGTGGCATATTCCCAGACTGTGATCTAAGCATTCCTTACATGTGTCATTTCATATGTACTATAAGTAGGAAGGCCAGCTGTGAGTGGGAGAACAATATACTCTGGAGGTAAAACCTAGAGGAGCGGCTGCAGGGGAAGTGTTTACTGACTTTCCTCTGCTCTTGGCTCTCTTCCACTGTTGTCTTCACATGTTTTTTGTACTGACTTTCCTGCACTAAGGGTCCAGAGATAATGACCTCTTAGCAGCATTAACAGGCCAAATGAGACCCTTGAGAGAGAAGAAAAGCAGAAAGCCTGTGGAAATCTGGCCCCCTTTGTTCCACTTTCTGCTTCTTTTTTTCCATTTCATGGATGTGTAACAGAAGGGCTTCTCTTGTGACCAAGCCTTTAGTACTAAACACACTGTGCTCTAAGCTTACTTGGGGTGTGGCTGAATAATTTCACTCTGAATTACGTCTTTGGATTACTTTCACCAGTAAGTATCTACAGATATCATGACCTCTTTGCAAGTGTGCTTGCATGTAAGGGCAACAGTCTGACTGAGGCTAGAAAAATGAGGCTGTCTCCGTTGTGTTTGCCATCATGGTTGCCGTTGATATGTAAACATGTCTTTATAGTGGTACAGTGTGTCGCCTGTACGTACATCTTAATGCTCTATCTCACCTCCACATAGCAGAAGAAGGACTCTTTAAACATCTATATTGTTTCCCCTGGGCAGCGGGAGGTTGAACTCTAACACCTTTTTTTTCATATACAAGTATTTAAATTGTTTTCAATAGCTGTTGCGTCTCTGTTTGACTTAATCACACTTTTTCAAATGTTTTTGGCAAAAACTGTTATTCTGAGCACCAGATGTTGGTGTGGTCACAGTAGAGAACCCAAGTATGAGTCAGATAGAACGGGTGCCCTCTGCTGGCCACAAAGGGTACCTACATGTTAGGAACATAATGTGTACTGTATGTTGAGATCTAGCAGAAAACTTTCATTAAAGAATAAACTTTAATGTTAAAATGCTTAAAAATGCTAAATAATCATGTAAAAATAAACAAAAGCAATAACTTTGGTTTATTTGATTGATTGTTGATGTTGAAATGTTATTGTTCTTGACTAATAGCTTTGTAATGATTCAAAGTGTGTATTAGTTCTTGTTTTATTTACATTGTGGGGACCTACAGGTACACATGCCGACATTCAAATGGTCCCTATATGGCAGTGTTATCTCCTTTGGGTCAGGGGTCAGGTTTAGGACTAAGGTGTAAATTGAGTTTAGGTTGTGGTTAGGGTTAGGTATGAACCTGTAATGGTTAGGGTCATGGTTAGGCTGTACAACTTGCAACATATGGAGTTGATACACTCAGATTGCTTAAAAGTTTCCTATCTAACTAAAAAAAATCTGCATGCATGCAGAAACAGTAGAGAGATAAAACTCCCTTTGAACAGGAAGAATCCTCCAACAGAACCAGAACCAGGCTTTGTGAGTGGAGCATCTGCTGAGGTCGACTGGGGTTCAAGGAGACAGAACTGAAATACAGAAAGAACCAGAGATACAAAACAAACACAGGAGCGCTGTTCTATAAATACTTTCTGATAACAATGAACTAGCTCCTCACGAGGCTCTGTCTAGGAAAAGAAACAGTTAAGCAGATGAGCTCTGAGCCAGTTTTCATCTCAATGGGACGACAGAGAGAACATCTAAAAGCTTAGCCCATAGCTATATCTAGGTGAATACCCGTACTAAACACTGTAAACAGACCAGGCTCCAACATCTATAAACCAAGGTGTTGATAGCAGCAGTACAGGTCATATTTCTCTCCAGGATGGAGTCACAGCCATACGGGAACACACCAGATAATGCTACTATCAGAAAAAGCAGAGCGAGGATAACGTTGGAGATTGAACTAACATATTCTGCAGAATGAGAGAATAGAGATAGAATAAAGCAGAATGATGAAAAGTGATCCCTATGTCCTCTAGCAGTCTAAGCTTATAGCAGCATAACTATATGACTATAGAGATAGCTCAGGATAACCTGAACCACTCTAGCTAGGATCAGAGAAATATGATATGATTATTGTAATGACTTGTATTAAAGAAAACAAAACAAACCTTAGCCCCTGAGAGGCTGGTTATCGGGTCTGAGTTGACACGTCTTCCTCCTGGATCCAATAACGACCACTTGAGGTTCTGTGACTATAGAGCATAAAGCATAAAACTGCAACGGCCACAAACTGGATGTTTAAATCCTAATCAAGACACCTACTGTGTGGCTACCTGTGACTCTATTTGAACAGATGAAGCCACCCACTGTCAATTTTAGGTATTTAGGCATAAATAATCACTGTCTGTAACTTTTCTGACTTTTTTTTTCCATTTTCTGCTCCATGCCATTTTTCCGTAGGAAGTGGATGAAGGCCGGGTTCGCCTGGTGATGGAGAGCGCCCTGACTGCCCGGGACAGGGTCGGAGTGCAGGACTTTGTCCTGCTGGAAAATTACAATAGCGAGGCCACCTTCATCGAGAATCTGCGGAGACGTTTCAAGGAAAACCTGATCTATGTAATTAGAACCGCTTCCCTTTAAATGCGTCACAAAAAAAAACAAAAGTCACTTAGTGGAGATGTTTGAACAGGATTCCTCTTCCCTTTAGACATATATTGGCTCGGTGCTGGTGTCAGTGAACCCATACAAGGAGCTGGAGATTTACTCCAAGCAGCAGATGGAGCGTTACCGAGGGGTCAGCTTCTATGAAATATCTCCTCACATGTGAGTCACAGCATGTTCCTAATTAGTTAAAAAATTTGTTGAGACACGACACCCGATTCAGGATTTGCTAGTGGTTGGTTAATTGCTATCAGCATGTGTGTGTGCTGCAGGTTTTGCATCAGACTGAGGACCGTTTACTGACTTCACCATCAAACTGAGGACATTTTCCTGGTCCTCCCTTCTTTTTTTTTTTGCTGCCAGTTAGGTTTAGGACTAAGGTGTGAATTGCATTTAGGTTTAGGTTAGGGTTACAGTAGATGTGCTCTGGTACGCTGCAACAAATGAAAGTTAAATAAGTTAATGTGTTTGTGGTATAGGGGTTAAGCATGCAGTCCATGTATAGAGGCTTGATGAGCTTTGCTGCATGTTTCCCCTTTGTCTCTAATTCCATTTGCTGTTGGCCTACTTTTCAATTTAATAAAATAAAATAATGCAAGCAATTTTTTTCTTGAAATATGTGTGTTTCCTCCTAATTAAGCAGGAAAGAAAAAATGTAAATAGAATAAAATTATTTACATTAAAAATAAGAAAAAAATACCCCATTATCTTATTTCGTAAACCATCTAATTATCTGAATTTAAAAGACAAGAATAATCATTTTATTGGTAGAACATCTTATTTACCTCTTCAAATTGAGGGCAAATAGACTGAGTCATTAAAGTCAGAAATGTGATATTAAAGGTTTATTTTCCTGAATTTTTATATTCTGTGCACTATATTTTTTTGTGATCATTGAATATGAGTTATAAGTGAAACATACAAATATTAATGTGATTCCAAAAAGATTGTAATGTGCAGCAGACCATATTGACTCTGGCAATAGTTCATACTGTACATGTAACAGTAACAGGAAAATGCTCCGCATAATTTTCCTATACAGTGCTGAAAATATTTTATAGATAGATAGATAGATGATAGATAGATAGACGATAGATAGAAAAGGAATATGATATATATATATATATATATATTTACATACCCATGCATGCCTATACACCAATGTACACATGCAAATATATTTTCACATCTATGCATCCCATTCTTTATAGATTTATTAAATTGTGCACTTTACATATAGTGGTATATAATGGTAATATAAATCACGTATTATATAAATAAATACATTTTACAGCTACTTGTTTCATGGAATGTTTATTTATTTCAAGTTATATTTTGGTCCTCCGTATATCAAAGGGGTCACTATACTGTGATTGTCGTGACGCCTGGTTTTAGGACCCCTGCTTTAATACAACAAGCATCATTTTCTTTGTTTCTTTTCTTTTTGCTGATAAAGCTTAGTTTGTAATCTATTTCCTTAAAGCTATGCAATATCAGACAACACCTACCGGGCCATGCGCACAGAGAGGAGGGATCAGTGCATTCTTATATCAGGTGAGAGCGGAGCAGGTAAAACTGAGGCCTCCAAGAAGATCCTGCTCTACTATGCCGTCACCTGCCCCACATCTGACCACATGGTGACCCTCGGTGATCGTCTCCTGCAGTCCAACCCTGTCCTGGAGGTGCATGATCTGCTGCCTTTTAAATGCTTCCTGTTGGTCATGTGTCCCACGCTGACTTGTTGAATCTTCATGCAGGCTTTTGGTAATGCCAAAACGCTGAGAAATGACAACTCCAGCCGCTTTGGGAAGTACATGGATATCCAGTTTGACTTCAAAGTAAATTATGTTTTTTTTTCTCTAGTATGGCAACAAATCCCAGAAAGTTTCAGCATTTAACTAACATCCAATCGCTGCCTTCTCTTCTCAACGGTTTGTTTTCCCAGGGCGCAACAATAGGTGGTCACATCCTGAATTACCTCCTGGAGAAATCACGAGTCGTGCACCAGAACCACGGGGAAAGAAACTTCCACATCTTCTATCAGCTCCTGGATGGGGGGGATGACGACCTGCTCACCACGCTGAACCTGGAGAGGAACCCCCACAGCTACAGCTACCTGGTTAAAGTACTACTGCTCTCTGAATGACTTGTTGTCCAACAGAGGATTGTGCTGTTACAGTCATGCTTGGTGTTATTTTCTGTAGGGAAGCTGTCCCAGAGTGAGCTCCATAAGTGACAAGAACAACTGGAAGGCTGTAAAGAAGGCCCTGGACGTGATCGGCTTCACCGAAGATGAAGTTCAGGTAATAATTAGAAAAAAATATACCACTATTCAATCAGGTTTCTTTAACATAGGAATCATTTTGTCATATATGGTAACTGGTCTTATCTTCGATAAATCAGATAGTGTGAAGCCCTGAGCTCTTTTTCCTTGATTCTTTCTTGAAGCAGTTTATGGTCCACTGTTTCTAAACAGATTGTAGTTGAGGACTGAGTTCGCTGTCCAGACCCAACATGATGCAACACAATGTAAAATATGACAAAACATAACTACTAAAGCAGATTAAATATACAGCAGGTGAAGTAAGTGTTGCACATGCCACCATTTTTCTCAGTAAATATATTTCTAGAGGCGCTATAGACATGACATTTTCACCAGATGTCGGTAACAATCCATGGAATCAACACATACAATGAAATAAAACCACAGATGTCCAGAAATGAAGTTATTTGTAATAAAGTGGAAATGCACAGGGGAAAAGTATTGAACACTAAATTAAATGTATTTTAACCTTTGTAGAAAAGCCTCTGTTGGCAATGACAGCTTCAACACACCTCCTGACACCCATCTGTGTTGTTTCTATCAAAATATAAATGTCATGGCTGGGAAAATCTGATTGGATTATCAGGTGGTTTGGGGCTGCCTCCTCTGCAGGATTTTAACCCCTTTAAACGAACGAACGACTCTGCAGCAGAAGAAGGGATTGTTCTGCTCCTCTCAGGAAAACTGCTCTAGTTTCTAGTTTCTCTCAGGAACCTTCAGGAGATCAGTGAAACTTTGACTCCTACAGTCACAGTGTTGACATGTTGTGTATTTTTTAATAATATTTTATCTCTGAAATGTCTGTTTGAATCTCTGTTCTAATTATAATTTCATTCTACTGATATACTGATGTTTTTTTATTGCAATTGTCTCTGTTTTTTTTCCTCTTTCCTTTATCTTTTCTGTGGCCATCCATTTTGTAAACACTAACCTGCCCTGGGACTACATATAGAAAATAGGCTCAATGGCTAACTGGCATATTTACATTTGAATATAATGAAACTATGGGAAATGTATTATCCCATTTCCAATAAATAATTTAAAAATGACATAAGCCAGTGCTTCCTGCCTTTGGATCACTTCTAGGCTGAATCCCAAACCCCCTCCCTAAACACTAAGTAAGTCTGCAACAGGACCGGAAGCTCCGTATTTCTGTTATTCTTGGGATCACAGCCTTAAATGTTTGGGATCTGCTGTTCTGAGGAACCAAACCACAGCTTAGTTAATCTACTAAATAGGATATTTATCACTTTAGGAACCTTTTAGTCTAAACAGCTTTTTTTTCTGGTCTGTTTTACTCAGAAACTGCTGAACATCATCGGCAGCATCCTCCATCTGGGCAACACTCTCTTCGGGGAAGGGGAGGAAGGAGAAACGTATATCACCACTGAGACCCAGCTATCAAACGCTGCAAAGGTCAGAGCACACGCAGACTCACAGCTCTACTTCTTCAGGCTCAGAAGAGCCAAAGAGCAGCATAGCTGACTGCATGTGTGTCTGTTGTGTTGCAGCTGTTGGGTGTTGATGGCTGCGCCCTGAAGGAAGCGCTGACTCATAAGAAACTCACAGCCAAAGGAGAGGAGGTGATTGTCCTCTATGCATGTATGGAGGGAAGTTTGTTACATTATTGTAGCAAGCAAGGATCACACTTTGGAAAGTGGAATTTTGGAAAAAAAATTACATTTTGAAAATGGAAATTTGAAAACGATGCAACATAGAGAGGAAACTCTTAAAAAAGCTTTTTTTTAAGGAATGCTTACAGTTTTTCCTTTTCATATATTTCATTTCCCATATAATTAGAATTTTTTATTTTTATTTTTCGAAAGAATATTTTTACAGCTTTGATTGTTTAAATTTTAATTTCAAGATTGAGATTTACAAATTCAATTCTCTTTTCAATATCCGATTCTCTTCACTTCTGGGGGCGGTTTTCCTCTGGAGTGAGGAGCAAAGACACATTTCTATTGGTCTGCAACATTGGCATCATTTTCATTGATGAGGAGCGTCTGTATTGGCCTTGATGTGAAGAAAATGTGATCTGTAGAAAAATTTTGAAAAAATAAAGTAAAAAAAAACAATATATTTAATAGACACATTTCTAAGAAAACAGAAAACCTTTTAATAGGAGGTGTTTCAAAGTCCCATTCCTGGATTCTAACTTTCCATTTACAAAACGTTTTCTTTGGCTGCCACAATAATGGAACAAAGATGACTCCATAAGCATCTTCGTCGCACTGTGACTTGTTCCGTGAGCCCTGACGGATCTTTCTTTGTGGATTACAGATGATCAGCCCGCTAAACTTCGAGCAGGCGGTTTCTGCCCGTGATGCTCTGGCCAAGACTGTGTACGGCCGGACCTTCAACTGGTTGGTGGAGAAGATCAACCAGTCACTTGCTCTGAAGGTGCAAGCTATAGCAGCTCTCTCCGGAAAGCCAATAATTTTATTGTAAGGCTGCTCCTCTGTTTTTATCACTGATGTGTATTTTATGTATATAGGAGGAAATCTATAGCAGCAAAGGGTCGTCGGTCATAGGGCTCCTTGATATCTATGGCTTTGAGGTCCTCCAGCACAACAGGTATGGCTGATCTTCCTTTCTCTGGTTTTTATACATGTCACGTGTCACATGTCTGTATAATTCATTAACTATTCCTCCAGTTTTGAGCAGTTCTGCATCAACTACTGCAACGAGAAGCTTCAGCAGCTCTTCATCGAGCTCACCCTCAGATCTGAGCAGGAGGAGTATGAGACCGAGGGAATCGCTGTGAGTCCGTTTTTCTTCCTCTTTTCTGTTTGGTTGTCACAACAAACGACTGGGACTCTTTTTGCTTGTAGCTATGAGCGCATAGCGATATAACGTTTGTGTCCTTTGAGTGCAGTGGGAGACAGTCCAGTACTTTGATAACAAGATCATTTGCGACCTGATAGAGGAGAAGCACAAAGGCATCATCTCCATTCTGGTTAGTATGTTACTGCTTGTGCACGTGCCGTAGCTACATGTGGTCTCCTCTTTCCACCTATCCATGGTTTCTGAGACAAATGATTTTATGTTTCAGGACGAGGAGTGCCTGAGACCGGGAGAGACTTGTGATGTTTCCTTTTTGGAGAAGCTGGAGGATACAGTGGGCGGCCATCCCCATTTTATCACGTAAGAGTCATTGTTAACATAAGTAAAAGACATCTGTGTGCATGTCTTTTAGTAAATTACTGCTCTATCACACACAATGAACCAGCTTCAGATGTAACTCTGACCATTTCCCAGCATGGAGCTGACCTTTCCTAAAGTGTATGGCTGCACTCGTCTGATGAAGTAAAACCTTGCCCTACATGCTCCTAACTTTCCAAAAAAAACTCATGTTTCAGATTATTGTGACTTGTCATTTTTTTGGGTGAACAAAAGTCTGATTTAAATTGCTTCTCTTCCATTTTATATGGTAAAATCCCTGCAGGATTATATTTATATCACAGCAAATTCATAAGGTCCTGCAGACTCTAACATTGGACTAACACACAAAGATGTGCAAAGAAAAATGCTGCAAGCAGCAAAAACAAAAGCAAGTTCAGAAAGGCTGCAGCAGCAAAGTGGAAACATGCTGAAAATATGTAAATGATGCTAACTAACAAACACGCAAAAAACATGCCAAGGGGAAATGCTGAAAACTACAAAAACAACTGCAAGCTAAGAAAAGCTGCCAAGTAGCACAATGATAGAGCTCCAGACCACTAGTGGGAGACACATTATCAATTAATGTGGAATCAGAGCATATTTCTAGATATGGAGCGACGCTATGGTCGGCCATTATCTTTGGCCAATGTTAGCTTTTTTTCTATTGCATCGGCCGATGCTTTCATGTATTAGGCAATTCATTTGTGTGTTTACCAGCCATGCACTACTGCCCCCACTAATAAACATTATTAATATTTTGTTTGATTTCTTGATAAATATTTGTAATTTATTTCTCTTTACTTGTTTAACACATGTGGCCTTTGTGTCATCTTTATAATGTAAACGAGGAGGACAAACCAATATTTACCTACAGAATTGGCCCCAAAAAAACGCTAAATTGATTAGATTAATGTCAAAATAATTGGTTTCACTCTGCCTTAAAAAAAATCCTAAATCAGTTGCTAAGCAGACATTACTATGAATTAATATCTATCTATGTACCATACTCTTAGCAAAAACATAAACAGGATGCCATTCAGGGGGCATCCGAGGGGAGAAAAAGAAAGGAAAGTTTTCCATTGACACTTTTTTTGTAAACATTTAGTCCGTTTCTCAATTAACAAGAATGCGAGTACGGACCTGTGTCCTTGCTGAGTATGTTCTTGAGAAGAACACAGAAAAGTGTTGACTTGGGGAGGACGGGTGCATGCAGAGTAAATATGAGTCAATTGGATCAGAAGCGTAGTCATGACGTCACCACATGCTTGGCTCGTCTGGAGCTGCATTTCACCTCCTGTCATCAATACTCTCTAGTCTCTAGGGACTTCACACACTGCTATGCCATGAGAGGGCTGCTGCAGACAGGCTAACTTCAGCCCTTGATGCAGTTAGCGTTGGAGCTCCGCTGTTTGCTGCGGTCCTCTCAACATCGGACGTCTCCCTTTTAGCTAAAGTGGTTAGCTTGTAGCCACAGCCTCCAGCAGCACCTCCTGGGTGCTGCTGAGTCTCTCCGTCTCAGGCAGTCACGGGTCTGGCGGCTTCTAACGGCCGCCTGTCTGCGGATAGGTTTAGGTTAGCAGAGCTGGATTAGCTCTTCTCTGTCTCTGCTGCAGTAGGCATTCGACACTGTTTTCAACTCAGTTTGAATCGCAGGAAGAATAAAAACACTGGTTTCAGCTCCTTCTGAATCACAGGAAAAGGGCAGTCTGACTCGGGTCCGGCTAGCGCGGACTTCTCCGGAAGCGCTCAGACTAGCCTTACGCAGCACAGGGCCACCAGTAGTGATGTTATGAGATGAGGCGAGGCTTCGAGGCGTGTGTCAAGTACTGGAGGGGACGTTTCTGCGAGGCGCATATCACGGCTTGCTTCATTTGGGGGAGGAGCCAAAATAGATGACGTCCGAAGCCTCGCTACCCGCCATACCACGTGACTGCTTCGGGAAGTAGTTCAGCTCACCCGAATCTTTGACAGGCATTTAAACAGCCTCTGTGTTCAGTCAGGATGTGGGATTTTGTAGTTGGATAGAGTTTGGATAACCTGACAACAGCCAGATGCATGTCTCGCTCCGCCTAGCTCCGCTCACATACATCTGGGAACCCGCCATAGGAATTGCCTTTACTGAAGGCTGGGCCTTATCAAAACTCCTTGCATATGATTGGATAAGCCACTTGTCTGTCATCTTTATTGACGTGCTATTTCAACCACTCACACCGAAGCTAACCCGTGACGCTGTGAGAGGAGGAGCCATTTGGTCAAGCTCTTGCCAAATCCGGTCGGGAGAAGGGCGAAAACATCGTTTCCACCAACAAAAGCCTTCAAAGCCGTTCTCTGATGTTCTTTTAATGAAACAATATCAGATAGATTGGACAACACAGAAGAAATAGCAGCATCAATGCGAACGCTTGCTTCCTTAGTGCGAGCCGCCATTGTTGTTGGAATCTCACGGTCGCTTCTCCACTCTAGGACACACCCGCCCTGCGTCCTGATTGGACAGACCATAAATTCGGTTGGAGAAATCACTTTCAATGAGCGGGTTCCCAGATGTATGTGAGTGGAGCTGGGCGGAGCGAGACATGCATCTGGCTGTTGTCAGGTTAGAGTTTGGATAGATTCTAGGAATAGATTGGTGTTTTTTCCAACCAATCCAGTTGGTTTAAACTAGTTTTGTTAGATTAAACAATGTAATGATCAAAGTCTGAGCAAGCCACTGATCATAGATCTACTGGATTTTAAGTATTAATGCTCTCTTTAGGTATGTCACTTACTTAGTGACGTCAGTTGTAGGAAATGTACTTCCAATCTTCGGGTTGTTGATTCAAGACCCACCTTAGCCTTTTAAATGTTGCGATAAAACACAATAAGTGTTTTTGGCTAATGTGGTTAATTTGTATTTGTTGCTCTAGTATAAATATATATTTGTAAAAACACAAAAAATTAGATTGGTGGATTTAACAAAAAGATTGGTTGAATACATAACTTCCATCCCGATTAAACCAAAAATGGTGGGAAAACTATCATGTTTCACTAAATAGCAGATAAACAGCGCACCTTAAATTATTGTTCTCTTCTAAGACATTTTACACACAAAAAACTAACTAAATATTTTATCATACAGACCAAACATTAAGAATTTCAAATTAACTTAAAAACAAGAAAAATAATATTGCAAAAAATCACAGATTATATTACTAACTGCAGTTCTGTACTCCACCTTTAGGTGGTGACATGTTCATATGAAGCTTCATGAACTGTGAGGATCATTGAAGCAATTTGGCCAATTTGGCCTTCAGAGGGGAGTAGTTCCAATTATATCAGTTACACTTGATCCCAATATCTGCTCTTGTCTATAAACGAGTTCTGATTTGAGAACATCAAAGCAATCATCTGAATAAAAAAAAACAAAAAACGAAACATCATTGAAAGCTGAGGGTTAACCAATTTATCTTATTAAAAAGATAGACCTTTACATTTAAAGGATCTGGAAGTCACTTTGTCTTTAAATGGGGGAAATCTTTCAGGCACAAGTTGGCGAATGGAAAAACGCGCCGGATAATGAGCAGGGAGGAGTTCAGGCTGCTGCACTACGCTGGAGAGGTCAACTATAATGTTAATGGTGAGATAAAGCTGAAATATAATATTTGTTTATTCAAATACTTGATAAAGATTCAAGAGTGGATTCTTTAATACTAAACAGACCTTTTTTTCTACAGGCTTCCTGGACAAGAACAACGATTTGCTGAACAGAAATCTAAAAGAGGTGATGAAAAAACCTCCTTTGTTGCTTTAGTGAGGAGGAGGAAGAAGAGGGCGTGTCTTCCTGCGTTGTTGACATGTGGTTTTGTGGTTTGGTTTTTGTTTAGGTCATGTGCCAGTCAGAAAACCAGATCCTAAGTCACTGCTTCCGCAGAGAGGAAGTGATCGACCAAAAACGTCCAGGGATGGTGTGAATCTTTCCCTTACTGCCCTCTGACTATTGTTCTACCTTTATAAGCTGTTTTAAAACACATGGTGCCGTTTGAGGACTCAAGGCACTTGCCGGCATTACATTTGAATTATAAATTTTAAAGGGTTTTATTTGTGCTTTAGGCTGCTTCCCAGTTTAAAAACAGCCTGATGAAGCTGATGGAGATCCTCATGTCCAAAGAGCCGTCCTACGTGCGCTGCATCAAACCTAATGATGCCAAGCAGCCAGGTATTTTCAGGTTTATCATGAATTTCCTTAAAACACAATCAAGATGTTATTTAAATCTATTAAAGGGGGAATGTGTGTGAAATGTCTTGTTTCACAACCTTTCCCATCCGCCTGCCTTTTTCAGTGTCCGTGTTTTTTTCCATAAACCAACTGAGCTCCAGCTGGAGCTCTTTGCACAGCAAGGAAGCCAGTTTTAAAAAAGGATGTTTAAATGTAGCGAATAATTCCTTGGGAAAAGTAAATTCAAGTACAGGTGCTGGTCATAAAATTAGAATATCATGAAAAAGTAGATTGATTTCAGTAATTCCATTTAAAAAGTGAAACTTGTATATTATATTCATACATTACATACAAACTCATATATTTCAGATGTTTATTTTGTTTAATTTTGATGATTACAAATGACAACAAATGAAAATCTCAAATTCATCATATCAGAAAATTTGAATATTACTGAAGACCAAAATAAACAAAGGATTTATAGAAATGTTGGCCAACTGAAAAGTATGAACATGAAAAGTATGAGCATGTACAGCACTCAGTACTTAGTTGGGCCTCCTTTGGCCTGTATTACTGCAGCAATGCGGCGTGGCATGGAGTCGATCAGTCTGTGGCACTGCTCAGGTGTTATGATAGCCCAGGTTGCTCTAATAGTGGCTTTTAGCTCTTCTGAATTGTTGGGTCTGGTGTATTGCATCTTCTTCTTCACAATACCCCATAGATTTTCTACGGGGTTAAGGTCAGGAGAGTTTGCTGGCCAATTAAGAACAGGGATACCATGGTCCTTCAACCAGGTACTGGTAGCTTTGGCACTGTGTGCAGGTGCCAAGTCCTGTTGGAAAATGAAATCTGCATCTCCAAAAAGTTGGTCAGCTGCAGGAAGCATGAAGTGCTCTAAAACTTCCTGGTATGTGGCTGCGTTGACCCTGGACCTCAGAAAACACAATGGACCAACACCAGCAGATGACATGGCACCCCAAACCATCACTGACTGTGGAAACTTTACACTGGACTTCAAGCAACGTGGATGAAGTGCCTCTCTTCTTTTCCTCCAGACTCTGGGACCTTGATTTCCAAAGGAAATGCAAAATTTACTTTCATCAGAGAACATGACTTTGGACCACTCACCAGCAGTCCAGTCCTGTTTCTCTTTAGCCCAGGCAAGACGCTTCTGACGCTGTCTGTGGTTCAAGAGTGGCTTGACACAAGGAATGCGACAGCAGAAACCCATGTCTTTCATACGTCTGTGTGTGGTGGTTCTTGAAGCACTCACTCCAGCTGCAGTCCACTCTTTGTGAATCTCCCCCACATTTTTGAATGGGTTTTGTTTCACAATCCAAGTGCTTGGACACTGAGCTCTGTGAACAGCCAGCCTCTTTAGCGATGACCTTTTGTGTCTTGCCCTCCTTGTGCAAGGTGTCGATGGTCGTCTTTTGGACAACTGTCAAGTCAGCAGTCTTCCCCATGATTGTGTAGCCTATAGAACTAGACTGAAAGACCATTTAAAGGCTTTTGCAGGTGGTTTGAGTTAATTAGCTGATTAGAGTGTGGCACCAGGGGCCATCAATTTTGAACCTTTTCACAATATTCTAATTTTCTGATATGATGAATTTGAGATTTTCATTTGTTGTCATTTGTAATCATCAAAATTAAACAAAATAAACATCTGAAATATATGAGTTTGTATGTAATGTATGAATATAATATACAAGTTTCACTTTTTAAATGGAATTACTGAAATCAATCTACTTTTTCATGATATTCTAATTTTATGACCAGCACCTGTACAGATACTGAAAAAAAATTTAAGTATTTGATACTTTACACCTCTATCAGTAAGATAATCAAATAATAAAAATCGAATAAATAAATGCTCTCAGTCAGAATTAGTGACCTTTTTTTTTCTTTACAGTGCTGTATTTCTTCTTTAATAAAGCAAGACTGTCATGGCAGAGTTTATCAGTGAGGGGAATAAATCATGTTCTCCAAGATCAGAAAGTTTACAGGAGCTTGTGCCACAGAATTAAAAAGATTAATAAACTCACCTCTTTTATTGGAACATAAAGAATTAATCTATATCATTATATTTATTTATCTAAACATTAATAGAAGAATATTTATAAGTGGTGATATCTATGATGAGGAAGATGCTTTCTCCCTGCAGGACGTTTTGATGAAGTTCTGGTGAGACACCAGGTGAAGTATTTGGGTCTTATGGAGAACTTGAGGGTCCGGCGTGCTGGCTTTGCCTACCGCCGCCGCTTCGAAGCGTTCCTGCAAAGGTGACTCACTCTACCTCTCCAACTGTTTTTTCTCTCCAAATCCGTTCTTATAATTAACTATAAATGCTTTCAGGTACAAGCCCCTCTGTCCCGACACGTGGCCCAACTGGAATGGAAAACTGGCTGATGGGGTTTCTGCTCTGGTAAACCACCTGGGCTACAAAGCAGAGGAGTACAAGCTAGGAAGGTAACTGTCAAGATTTGTATGGAGGTTGGTTGAGGACCCAAATGCAGAGACCGGAGGGTAGAGGTGAATCTGGTAAATTTAATGAAGTAACTGAGGAAAAATGCAAACCCAAGAAATCAAAATGTCAGGGAAGCAAGAGACGAGGGAAACAAAAAAAAACAACAAGGAACCAGCACTGAGTGACTGCAGAGGTGGAGTGTATAATGGAAACAGAACAAATGATGGACTTATGAGCTGAATAGGGAGCAGGTGTGAGTGGAACTAACTAGAAGGAACCAAGGGGAAAGGAAACAAACACAAGGGGGCAACAGAGAGTAACTAAAGACTGCTTAAATGTAATGGAAAATGTAGCAAAGATCAACAAAACAGAATAACTAGTAACTGAAAACTAAAAACTCAAGAGTCCAAAAAGGGGACAACCATGACAGTGATGGAAGGAAACTGTTATGAAAGTCCTCTCAGAACCGAATCAGAGAACACAGTGTTGCTTTTTAGGGTCATTGGAAGTTTATAACAATAACAATGGACTGAAACAGTTGGCTAGCAGACTGGTAACAGCCTTTTGAAGGCAGATGGAGGCGGAACCAGGTGGTGACAGGATGAACTGCCGGCTTGAGAGCAGATGGACGATGGCTGGCAGGCTGAGGGTGGTTAGAACAGGCTGTTGACTGGCGAAGACAGTCTAGGATGTGACCAGATTCACAAGTCATCAAGATCGAGTGAGATTTAGGTGAGCACAGGAGCCCAGAGCAAAGAACCGCTGGAATTAGTCTCATTCAAGCAAGGAGGTGACAATCAGGCAGGGAATAACTGAGAGAGGCAGATTCTGAGAGCTTCAGGGTCACATTTAAAGAGCCCTACTGATGGCTGCAGGTTTAGTTGTTTGGAAATACGTAGACAAGAGCAGAAGGTTCTACCATCATCCTGGACTTGAGGTGATAAGATATGAGCAAAACCTTTTTTTAGTGCTCATTGAACATGAAACTATTATAACTTTATTAGGTCTTTTAGTGTCATATGCACCGAATTATTTTAAAATAGCTTTAAAAGATATTGTCTTTTTAAAGGGAAAGAGATATTTAAAAAAAATACCAGATTAAATTAGATTATAGCATAAGAATTGTAAAAATGTAATTCCTCTGGCGAGGAGAGTTTTTTTAATACACCATTATTTTTATAATATATTAGGTTTATCTTGCTATTTTTATTTGGACACCTTTTTCCTTCAGAACTTTTTTAATCCTCAGCCAGGTGTTAGAAACATTCCTCAGAGATTATAATCCTTATTTTCTCAATAATATCACAAGGTTGCTGTTGGCTCAACAGCCCTGGTGTGAACTTCCTGTTCTAGCATATTGTCAGATGATCTGTTGGACTAAGGTCTGGTTGCAGTGGAATCCAGTAAAACTTGCAACCGTGTTCTAGAAACAAATTTAACGTGTTTTGAGTTGTTTTAAAACTTGCATGTTTCACTGTAGTTAAAGAAGGATCCAGAACTTCCTATTAAACCAGTCTGCCCATGCTAACCTTCAACATCATTTGTCCACATATTTAATGCTTACAGGTTTTGTTTCTTTTGTTCCATTCTCTGTAAACCAGAGTGATAGTTTTGCTTGAAATCCCAGTAAATTAGCTGTTCTGAAATGACCGCCAGTAACATTAACTGTCATTAGCACATACACTCCCCGGCCACTTTATTAGGTACCTCATGCTAGTAACTGGTTGGACCCCCTTTTGCCTTCAGAACTGCCTCAATTCTTCATGGCATAGATTCAACAAGGTGCTGGAAGCATTGCTCAGGGAGTTTGGTCCATATTGACATGATGGCATCACACAGTTTCCGCAGATTTGTCGGCTGCACATCCATGATGCGAATCTCCCGTTCCACCACATCCCAAAGATGCTTTATTGGATTGAGATCTGGTGACTGTGGAGGCCATTTGAGTACAGTGAACTCATTGTCATGTTCAACAAACCAGTCTGAGATGATTCCAGCTTTATGACATGGCGCATTATCCTGCTGAAAGTAGCCATCAGAAGTTGGGTACATTGTGGTCATAAAGGGATGGACATGGTCAGCAACAATACTCAGGTAGGCTGTGGCGTTGCAACGATGCTCAAATGGTACCAAGGGGCCCAAAGAGTGCCAAGAAAATATTCCCCACACCATGACACCACCACCACCAGCCTGAACCGTTGATACAAGGCAGGATGGATCCATGCTTTCATGTTGTAGATGCCAAATTCTGACCCTACCATCCGAATGTCGCAGCAGAAATCGAGACTCATCAGACCAGGCAACGTTTTTCCAATCTTCTATTGTCCAATTTCGATGAGCTTGTGCAAATTGTAGCCTCAGTTTCCTGTTCTTAGCTGAAAGGAGGGGCACCCGGTGTGGTCTCCTGCTGCTGTAGCCCATCTGCCTCAAAGTTCGACGTACTGTGCGTTCAGAGATGCTCTTCTGCCCACCTTGGTTGTAACGGGTGGTTATTTGAGTCACTGTTGCCCTTCTATCAGCTCGAACCAGTCTGTCCATTCTCCTCTGACCTCTGGCATCAACAAGGCATTTCCGCCCACAGAACTGCCGCTCACTGGATGTTTTTTCTTTTTCGGACCATTCTCTGTAAACCCTAGAGATGGTTGTGCGTGAAAATCCCAGTAGATCAGCAGTTTCTGAAATACTCAGACCAGCCCTTCTGGCACCAACAATCATGCCACGTTCAAAGTCACTCAAATCACCTTTCTTCCCCATACTGATGCTCGGTTTGAACTGCAGGAGATTGTTTTGACCATGTCTACATGCCTAAATGCACTGAGTTGCCGCCATGTGATTGGCTGCTTAGAAATTAAGTGTTAACGAGCAGTTGGACAGGTGTACCTAATAAAGTGGCCGGTAAGTGTATAACACCCTCATGAAATGTATGATAGTAAAACTAATGCTCCTATAATACGTTCTGGTTTGGAAGGTTATTGATGAAGATGAATTTACTGACATCTGGGTTGAACAGGAATCTAATGGTATTAACTTTACGAAAAAATTTGTTAGATATAGACGTACAGAACCGGAGCGCAGAACGATGTGAGAAGTCTTCCTGTGATGTTTAATTTGAGATTAAGAAATCAAACTTGGTAGTAATTCCTTTCATAAGTATCAGTGTATAGCAGTAAAAGAGGATTTGCCCTACACTATATCTCACTGTTTGTTACAAGTGTTCATGTTGGTACCACTGATGAAGCTGGAAACGGTTAAAGCTAAAGCAGGTTTGGACTTTTTCTGAGGATGCTGCTGGGCTAACCGTCTAACACTACTCATAAGCCAATAGTTTTATTTCTTTTGTTTTTATCCTCCAGGCCATGTGACATTGTCAATATTAATAACTAATTTATCAATGAACAGAAATAAAATAAAAAAATATAAAAGGTTTGTATTGTAAGTCCAGGTGCTTAAAATTCCTGTGGTACACGTCATCTCCCAACACCTGATGCAATATTAAGCTAACCATAAGACAAAAAGCTGAATTTAAAATTTCTTTAAGCCCGCCAAGGTTCCAGTGGAGCCCCAATGCAACACAGGTTTCAAACATGAATCAAATTGATAAGTTTATTTTGATTCCGATGACATTTCAACTTACTGTTTCTTCTCTGCAGATCAAAGATCTTCATCCGTTTCCCAAAAACTCTTTTCACCACTGAGGATGCACTAGAGGCCAAAAAGCCAGAGATCGGTAAGAGAGACTGTTTTGTCTGCATTCAGGAACAGAAAGTTAGGAGTCAGATCAGTTTTGTTCTGTTTTTTTTTTTTTTTTTTTTTTTTTTTTACAACTCTGACCTCTAGAGGATGTTTTTAGGTTTGGTGACCGTCCCGAATTTCTGGGGACAGTCCCTGTTTTGCACCACTTGTCCCTGGCCAAAGCCTGTCCCTGATTTTACGTTTAAGGAATGATGGGCAAAATGTTGCGTGTAGACTGTTATTATGGTAGAATAAGTGCATGAGCATGTTGCAAGCAGAAACAGCTGGTTTCACTGCTGTTAACGTATAGATGAGAAACAGAGGGCATCACTTTAAAAACAGAGGAAGCAGAATTTTGTTGTCACAACCAGTCACAGCTGACGGGAAGCTGACCTATGTTGTAGTGTTTTAAGTGATTTGTTTTATTTGAATTTGGCGATCCCTGATAGATATTGGGTTTGGGCCCAGGTAAAAAAAACAAAAAAAAACGGTGCTAATGTGTGCTTTTGTGTTACTAAAGATGATGACCCAAAATGTAACATAAACCAAGATATTCAACAAAAATTAAGCCAGATCACGGGTTGCAGCTGGCATGAGTTAAAGAGACTCTGATAAAATGCAACAGAACGATTCAGAACTCCTTGTTAGATGCTAATGTGGTACAGGGATTCTTTAGGGATCAACAAGGGTTTGTTTAAAGATGTTTTAGGACTAACTAATGCAAGTCCAGCAGATTGCAAAACAGCTTCTTCCCCCCTGCCATCAGGCTGCTGAACTGTTGAGAAAACTCTAAATCATGTGACGTCACAGACTCTGCATCACACTAATAACACCAAACAAAAAAACTGCCTGATTGCACCATATACATATATTCAATGCTCTGAAATTCTATATAATTGTGTTCTCTGCACCATGTTTTTCTCCCACACTCCACATTTGATCACTACTGCACTTTAAGGAATGGAAATGTCATGAAAGCTGTACAAAGCAAAATTTTGTTTTGTAAACACTCTATGACACTAAATGTTGTCTTAGTCTAACTGGTGATTCATTTATATTTTCAGACAGTTAGTTGTTATAAGAAGAGTGGGTATAAGCTGTTTTGCTAATGTATGGTTGTGATTTATGAGCATAGACTTCCAGACTCTGGTATGATTTTCTACTACTCAGTTAGATATGTGAAAGTTCTTCATTGAAAAACATTAGAGGCAGTAACAGGAAAACTGTAGCTACAAATATTGGGGTTATGAGCATTTTTAGTATTCAATCAGGTGAGAAGACTATAATAATAATATCTATGATGAGATTATACCCAAATACCCAAGTATCCAATATAAAAATGACCAACTTCCAATGAGCGTGTGAAACAAAAATCTTCAACCATTAAATTGTAAGTTTTCACACTGTACATTCTAATGTTTTTAGAGGGGATTGTGATTGTATTATGTATCTGTATCATGTTTTAGAACAGTGTAAGACTGATAGAAGTGGAGAGAGGAAGGAGATAGGAACACCGATGGAAAGAGCAGTTTAAGAGATGGAAGAAAAATAAACTTAGAAGAGTAAAGCAGAGATCAGGCAGAAGTCAGAAGAGAGCTAGAAAGAAAATTACCTCTGTAACCAGCTGGACAAACCTGGATTAATTAGCTTGTCCAGAAATGAAATAGGTAAACAAACGGCCTGGTTGAAGTTCAGGAAGTAGTGGAGCTTTGCTTAGAGCCCATTAGTGGGAGAAATTAATCTGCTTCTTTAAGACGCACAGGGCCCTGATGCAATCAGTTTTTCTTTTATTGATGTCACTCTCCAGTTAGGGGGCGGCAGACCTCTATAAGCTCCATAAAATCGGGAAGCCCTGGTAACCACTTTTGACCCCCCCCCAGTCCCACCCCCACACCTTTCCCCCAACCCAAAGACATGCTGGGTTTAAATTCAACGTCAGCGTCCTCCAAAGACCCGGCCTATCTGGATTATTTTTGGCCCCTGAAAATGAGGAGGTCGGAAGAGTTTTGGCTGTGGATTCAAATAGGTCCAGCCTTCTACAGCTTTCACTGCCCTTACGCTATTTGGCCTAGCAACCATCACAGGTGACACACAAAGCAGGCACAGACTTCATGCTGAACTTTTTACTACTGTTCTAGGTGCTAATAACATTTTTGAGGAGCTTCAGCAGCAGTGTGAAGAACATGAGGGTGAACCTCAGTGTAACCTCAGTTCCCACCCTGCAGAGATATTGGAATCTGAGCTTAAAGGGATAGTTCGGGATTTTTGACATGAATCTGTATGGCATCCCCATCACCAGTGTCATGCAATCACACTGACTTACCCCTGGCAGCATCCTGTGAGCAGAGTTCTCGTCCAGCTTTGGTCAAGCCGAAAGTAGTCCGGCAGGTTTGCTAGACCCAGCGAAATAAAACGTTTCTCTTCCCAAAACATTATGTGTTCAAAAGAGTGATATTTTTGCATCCCAAAAACATTGTAGTGGAAAAAGTCACACGTCGTTATCACTTGGTCCTATTTTCTCTCTGTTCGTATCAGTGCGCGCGACACCATGACCTGACAGCTAGGGCCTACCTGTTTGATTCGCGACATATGTAAAAATGAATGAAACCATCACTGTCCCGGTTTCCTAAATTTAATCCTGGTGAAATGTTTCTCTTTTTATTCTACGAGTTGGAAATATCCCCAGACATGATTTTCGAAATCTGGTCACCTTACTTTTAGGCCTGATTTGTATTTAGGAAATCCATCAGTGTGGTGCCTCCTTCCTGCTGAGAGCATTCATGGCATTTGGGCGTTAAAACAAAGCAAAATGCTCTAGGTTTCTGTGATATTTTTCTCCTTTAGCGCGTTCGTTGGTTAGCATCACTAAAATCTTTTTCTTAATTTGTATTTCAGAGAAAATTAAAAGCTTTAGATTATATTTAAGATTTTCCAAAATGTTGCCCATATTTTCCAATCCAACATGCCCCAAAAACAAAGTCGGTTCGACAGTAGGTACCAGATCTGCTTGGGCCCTGCGTATAACAGTGATGTTACGCTACAAATGTCCTGACTTGAAAAAGCACTATACATATACAGGCCAATTACCATTTCCCATTTAGGCACATTAAGATGACCTCACTAAGCAGTGTGATGAACATTAGGGTGAACCTCAGTGTTAATCAGTTCTGTCACCATAAAATATTACAAATTAAAATTACTTTTTCCTGCCTTTTTTATTCTAGCTGTGACCCTGCAGAAATCTTGGAGAGGCTACAGAGAAAGAGCCAAGTATCAACGCATCAGACATGCAGGTCTCTACATGCATCCTATCTGAGTGGTTTTGTGTCTTTAGGTGGAAACTCAACAGTTAGCTTCATTCTTATCATCATATTAAATCATAAGTTAAGTTTCAGATTATTTTAGGTCTGTGATCTTATCTAAGTTGCTGTTGATTTACACAAATATTTTTGCCTAGTTATTGTGATCCAGTCTGGATGGCGAGGGATGAAAGCACGCAGGAGAGCTAGGAGGCGCCGCGAGGCAGCTGTGCTGATACGCAGGTGCTGGACCAATGCATTGCTTCAGTTTGTTGTTGCAGCCGTACTTTTTGCGTCCAGGCTAATTTCTTATGATTTCTTTCACTTCAGGTTCATAAAAGGCTTCATCTACCGTCATGAGGAGTACTGCTCTGAGAACGACTATTTCCTGGATCATGTCCGCAGCTCTTTCCTGAAAAATCTAAGGAAAAACCTGCCAAAGAACGTTCTTGACAAGAGCTGGCCAACACCTCCTGCTCTGCTCGTTGAGGTATACTTAAAGAATCCAAACATTAAGGCGTTTTCTGCTGAATAAAACCACAGTACGCATAGAAAACACAATCATCTGCATATTGACGCATTCCCCCGCAGGCCTCAGAGCATCTCAGAAGGCTTCATATGCAGAACATGGTCGTCAAATACTGCAGGAGGGTTCAGCCTGAATGGAAGAAGCAGGTATATATACTTTACCAAATCCCCAAATTAAAGGCACTGCTGGTACACATCCTTTTTTTCCTTCTTTTTTTGCAAAAGCATGAGCTGCAATATAAAATGAGAGAAAAATAATAAAATAAATTGCAAAATAAGTGCCAGTTAAGCGTTCTCGTAACTTATACTTGAATCGTTACAGTTGGTCGGAGTGTCTGGGAACTTGAAATTAAAGGCCCTTTTTCAGTATATGTTACAGTAACGTCAGAGCGTTTCCTGGAGGCAAAACAAACCGCTAAAGGCGGCCAACACAAACCAGCACAGGGTCGGCTACACAAGGATTTTAAATTAACATTTGTTTTTGTTTTTTATTTGTTGGCTACCAGAATAAACAGAGTACAGACAGTTAGAAGTTTTGTCCCATGCCTGCAGCCTCTACCAGACATAAAAACGTACTGTAGCTCTGGTTAAAAGCAATAAAACAAGGGGAGTGGACAGAAACAATCATCATATATGTTCCTATTTGCAGCGCACACTTTTTATCAGGCTCATTAATGTAAATAAAATATTGTCTTTTATTTGTATGGACCCAAGTGCTACATGGTCATTTGTTCTGGCCTGATGGTGTTACTATGTTTGGGCAAAAATGGCCGCTCCTGGAATCGGTAAATCACTGCAAACATATGAGTTTTAGGTATAAATAAGGATCCATTGATTATTCCTTGTTGACCGGACTTCTCCTTTAAAGTGCTCTGTGGGAATCTTTCTGCCTCCTGCTAGGCTCCACCCACAGAAATATGTAACAATGTTTACTGACTGACAAAGGGTCAATAAACCATGGCTGATTGTTACACTATAGGATATATTTTATGACATGCTATTCGTCTTGGCCAGATGTGTTCGGGATAGAACGAGAAAACTACTACTCGCCTTTACTTGCTCAAATACAGCCAGACTAATAAAGAAACGGCTAAAAACAACTTGAACCTCTGAAAAAACAAGGACCCAGGTTAGTCACCCTTCTTCAAACAAATAAATGGAATAATGACTGTTTTCCTCAGATGATGCAGAAGGTTGTAGCCAGTGAGATCTTCAAGGATCAAAAGGACAGCTATCCTTTTAGTGTTGGGAGGCTGTTTTTGGACTCCAGGCTTGGTAAACCTCCGTACATCTCCTATTTCATCTCCCTTTCATAGACATAACAGTCACTGATTCTTTCCGTTTCTTCACAGAGCGAGATCAAATCAGCCTAAAAGTCCTCCAGACTCTTGGGAGTGAAAAAGTGCAGGTGGGATTAAATTTAGCAAAGATGAATAAAAACAAATGCTACCCAGCGGTGATATGTACTCCTTGTTCTTCTCAGTATGGGGTCTCTGTGATAAAGTACGACAGGAGGGGCTTCAAGCCCCGCCCCCGTCAGCTCCTCCTCACTAACACCTTTGCAGTGCTGGTGGACAGGACCAAAATCAAGCAGAGGATGGATTACACAGCTCTGAGAGGTGAAACCAGCTGCAGAGGTCGACCTCTTCCATCTCCTTACCTCCTACAACTGTTAAAGGGGCCCGGCCATGTACTACGCTCTCAAGAAACAACACCAAAAATTATATTTTCATGCCAATATATAAAAATGTTACACTGGCCAATTAGTGCTCACTCAGATTGATCTGTGATTCTCAGAAAATTCAAAAGGTCCTACAAACATTTTTAACCAGAAAACATTAGTCAGTGAGTCAAAAGTTAGACTAGCAGACATGTTTTCTTAATCTAATTGTGTTTACATGCAATTTGAGTAGATACTTAAATAATCTGTCAGTGGAATAAATCTTTTACACTTTAACTAAGAAAATAATATTTCCATTAAGTGCAGTATTTTAAATGATCCTAGTTTAGGGCTCAAAATCCTCATTCTACTGTCAGATAATTTATCTACCAGCTCAAAACTTATTTCAATAATATAATTTATTTTAGCTCAATTTTTTTGCAATTTTGGCCCCTTTAAGAAACAAAGAAAAGTTATAGTAAGCTGAATTTGTAACATGTTGATTTCATTATAAGTTTTCTTGTTTATTCAGGAATCTCTGTGAGCTCTCTCTGCGATGGGATGGTGGTTCTCCACATGCCGTGTGAGGACAACAAGCAGAAGGTACATCCGGACACCAGATGTTTTTCTTTTTGGGTTTTTTTATGGGCGCCAACAGTGCAGCTCGTCTAACCCCAGCTGTGCCTCCCTCAGGGCGACGCGGTGCTGCACTGCAGCCATATGATTGAGCTCGTGACAAAACTGGCCATGATGGCAAACAAGACCAACTATGTCAACATCAGCCCTGGCAGGTGAGCCTCTTCTACTAGCTGGTGCTTTTTGTCTTTTTTTCTATTAAATAATACTAACAAAGAAAAGTCTTTGTTCAAATGGAGTGGGAAAAAGACTTATTAATCCCACCCCTATGCAGCACAAAACTAAAGAATTACTCTCTATATAATTATTTTTATATACCAAAAATATCTGTAACAGTAAATACAGATACTGACAAGCCTATTAATTGCAGTACTACTAATAACAATATAATTCCTTTTATTATCATTATGAAAAAGTAAGCCAACCACACTGACAACCAAAGATAGTCATCGCTCTTCATTTCCATATATGAGAAGTAACATATTTTTGTATAATGATTTAAACTTTTATACATATCTTTGTTTCATTGCAGCCATTTGTTAAAATCAATATAGTTCATTTTATTTCTCATTAATGAACACTCTGCACCCCATCTTGACAGAAAAAAAAGAAACGTAAATTGTTTTGCCAATTTATTTTAAAAAATCATCATTGAGATGGTTCTGCTCCTCCAGCTGCGTTTAATTAACCTGATTGGACTTGATTAAGAAAGGCACACACCTGTCTTTATAAGACCTTACAGCTCACATTGCATGTCAGAGCAACCCTGTAGCAATTTCCGTACACTTGAATATATGATCAGCCATTTTTACAAACTGTTTTCTCTCAGATAGATACTTGTTAATCCAGTTCGTCTCCCATGAAGTCGTACTGCTGAAGCTCTTTAATGAGTACTGAGAATTACACCAGCTGCATATTTTCCTTGATCAGGTTCCCTTGTTATTTCCTCTCTTGCTTCCATCATTGTGAGGGAGGTTGTACAGTTTACTCTGAATCCATTCTGACTCTAGTTTAATATTTCATATTGATTCAGGAAGTCTTCAAGCCTTTTATTAAAGTTGTTTCCAGGATTTTTGAAAATATGGAAGATATGAAACTGACATGTAGTTCATATAGATGCGTTCTTTTCCTTGCTTGAAAAGTGGTTTTACTTTAGCTGTTTTCTTGATAATTCTTTTCACCAATGTCATATCAACACCGTCACAGTCAGTGGATTGTTGTTATTACACTTATTCATAGCTGATCTGACCTCCAACTCGTCTACTGCTGAGAGAACGATCGAGTGGGAATTATTCTCAATCGCTCATGGCGTATTTTCCTTTGTCTGGGATTTTCACCGCCATCTGTGGTCCCACATTCACAAAAAATAGATTTTATTAACTACCTTATTGTCATGATGGACTTCAGAGATCAAACCCACATGCAGATAACCACGCAGAGACAAAGGGAAAATGTTAACTGGTTTATTGCAGAGACTTCAAGCAGAGAGAGAGTTAGATTTAACAGGTTTTCTCAGAGGGAGATCCAGCGATCAGGTGAACTCATTTTGCTTGAACTCATTTTGCTTGAACGGCCCTTGAACTCATCACAAGGTTGAGTTCAAAGGCCGTAGGAAAGATGATCGAGGCTGATGAATGGTTCAGTAAAGACTCACATTCGAGGGGTTCTTGGAAGATCCTTGGGTCCAGTTTGTGGGGGCATTGTCCAGAGAAGATTGTACTCATTGGAGGGCGGAAAGGCACACTAGTGAAGGGTCCAGAGGAGCAACGGAGCGGACTGTCACAGGATTTTCCAGAGGTGGGCTTGAACGGATCAGGCGAAGGTTTCCCCTTGCTCAGAGAGACACGAATATTTTCTTCCAAGGGGGTAGAAGGACCAGGCTTATCCAGCGGATCAGGAGGGTTATCCTACCAGAGAACACAAAAGAGAAAAAGGCCAACTTAGACTTAGAGAAACAAAGGCACAATGGTGAGACTCAGCTAATCTCAGTTTTGGCTAGAGTACCCAATACTGGCAAACACCCTGACGTTGAGGTGGTGACAGTCCGCTGCTCAAATACTCCCCTGGTGATGACCCAACAAGCCGCAGGTGTTGGAGGAAAACCGGTAACAACCCTCCAGGCCAAAACGGGAAAGGGGCACCATCTAGTGGTGGACAGAGAAACTAAAAGAAAAACAAACCCCACAAACAGGACCCTAACACTTATTGATATAATTATCACCATTGCTCTCAATAAAATATTCAGGATATATCATTCTCTTTGTCCCACCTGTTCTTAGCCTATTAAATATGTTCCAGAGTCCTTTTATATGTTTCGTTAAATGATTTTTTTTTATTTTTTTGCTAGCCCTTATTATTTCCGTCAACTAATTTTTTACATTTTATATCTGTTTTTGCCAGTTCTTAATTTAGTTATGTTCTATATAGATCATTTTTTCTTTTTAAAATCATTCTTTAGTTCCCCTGGTTAGCCACAGGTATTTTTTTTTATAACCTCTATTAATCATTTTGATTTAACTAATTTATTGTATAATAGTTTAAATACATCAATAAGATTACTATATGCCGTCTTTCTCTCTATAAACATTATTCCAGTCTTGGAATAATATTTGGCAGCATCAGATTTTTATTGATTGCTACAATGGTGTCTTCGGTTCATAATCTCATGTAGATGATTTCATCTGTTCTACTTTCATTAATTCTGTTACTAACCTTAAAAAATAGAAAACAAGTGAGTGGTGACTAATATCATTTATTAATATACCACTTACCATATTGTTTGTAAATATGTTATTTATTTAGGTTGTGATTATTTTGGGTTTTGTGATCTTTGGAAAAAGGGTTAATCTCATCCTTATATGAGACAAATCGTCTCTGTAAATTAAATTCATAATTGTTTTCCTGTGTGGAACGCAGCATTCGGTTTGCCGTGTCCCGAGTCAAGGAGGGAATCATTGATTTCACCAGGGGTCCAGAGCTGAAGGTGGCCAAGGGCAAAAGAGGACATCTGCTGGTGGTGAGTCAGCGGCTCTTCTCTCATCATGTGGACAGACTGTGTGGGAGGGAGTCTGTGAAAAAACCTTCATCCAGCTGACTCTGCTCAAACTGTTTTTCTCTTCAGACTGCCCCTCAGATCAACGCAGTGTGAAGATCCAGGAAAAGCGAGAAGATGACCAGGATGACGCTGAAGTTTCGGATTTCCAGCTTCCTGTTTAGCACTAAATGACTCTTTCACTGTTTTTTTTTTTCTTTTTAATAACCCGCACTTCTTGTATGGCTCAACATCTAATATACTTAAAACATCAAAAACACAGTTTCTTTCACTGCCACATTCAGGTAGGTCTCAGTGGATTAAAGGATCAGGAAAAGAGGTTTTGATTTTTTTCAGAATTCAGAAAAATGAAACGTATAACAACACCAGCAGTGTTAGGTTTGTTTGGATGATTATTGCTCAAAGTTTATGCAAATTTGATTTTCCTAGAAGATTGGGGAAAAAAGGGTTTTTCAATCCAGAAACGCTGCAGCCTGTACGGTAATCTGCTGACTCAACAGATATCCAGCAAACCATGTTTAAAAGCCTTCACTAAAAGGTTAAACCATGAAAGGTCATTTCTAAAGAATCATGAGGTTTACAAAGAACCAAGTCTAATTAATTGAAAGTTAAGTTATAGAAAAAAAAACCTACGTAGAAAGAGGCCAGATTTAAGGGATTATGGTCTAAAAGTCAAGAGTTGGAGGGAATTTCTAAAGCCACCAAACGCTGACATGTCCACAACATGAGCTAAATGTGTAATTTATTAGACATTAGAAACACCGTCCACTGGCTGAAGACAAATATTCTCCACAGGAAGTAATTTAAGACAATTATTTAATATGTTTTTTGAAAATCAGAAAAAAGTGAATTAAATTGATATACTTATTATAAACAGTACTTTATAAAAGACAGATTTAAAAATGTGTTTTAAGGATCTTTTCTAGAGCTGAGAGTCCTCAGAAGGACGACTTATAAAATCCAAAAGGTTTCAGGAATCAGGAAATGAGTAAAAACTGTAGAACCTATAGAAAAGTCCAATCCGCATGTGAATGACTAGGATCAGATCAGACTACTAAGCAGGGTTATATTTAAGGTGATCTAAATGAAGGTGAGAAAACATTACAATCACAAACAATAAAGGTTTCATGAATCCCAAAGTGTGTTTGTGTCATAATCTTTTGCTCTGGCACAAAATACAGACGGACACTGTGGAGTCACAAGGTGAGTTTTTAAAGATTGAATAAAGTCCCTCAGCAAATGAAACAGAAGCATAGAAATTAACTGAAGACCTGATGAATACTGGAAAGTGACTCTTACCTTTCATAGGGGGAAAGAAAAGTGCAAATAATGAAACAACTGAGGAAACATTTTTACTAGGCCTGCAACTAACAATTATTTTGCTAATAGATCTGCTGATTAATGTTTCCATTAATAAATTAATAATCAGTTAGCAAAAGATTTTTTTCTTGAATTAAACCTTGAAAAACTAAACCTTCAAACTCCATTTGAGGTTTTCTGAATAGAGCTTATTGACAGCCCAAATGTTTTCCCATGTTAAATGCAAAATATTCAGCTAAAGACATATTTTACAGTCTCTATACTCCAATTACCGATTAATCGAATACTAAATTAGTTGACAATTATTTCAATAATCGATTAATCCAATGATTTTTTGCTCTCTTTTGCACATTGCTTTTATCACTTCCTTTTTTAGATAGTAAATATATATAATTATATATATATATAGTTATATATGTATATATTTTTAGTGTGCAGTGTTGTATATACATTTGTTGTTTGTATACGAATTGTTTCAAATCTAATTTTCACTTACAGTTGAGACTCAGTTATGCTCCGATTCAAACTGACATGGTTTGAGTTTCTTTTGTGTCTTTTGATTTACTGTATTTGTTACTTTCCTCTTATTTTCACCTTAAATTTTATATGTGAGATTCATTTTTTTTCCATGTTAGGTTTTCATTTTTTCTTCATAAACTTTTTTTTTTTTTTTTTTTTTTTTTTTTTTTTTACTTGGTATTAGTTTTGCTATTTGGGTCTTGACACATTCTGTTATTTTAGCTATCAGGGATTAACACCAATTTAAAAACCATAATATGATATATTATCTAATAATTTTTTTTAAAATAACATCAAAAACTATAGTGCAAATAAAATAGTTATGTTTACCTTTCTAGTAATGTTTTTTTTTCAGTACTATTAATTATATTTTCGATTCTATAAAGAAAATGTCCAATACAATAAAAACAGAAAAGTAGCTTTTAGCTTCAGAGCTAAAATAGCTTTTTTTTTTTTTTTTTTTGGCCTTTTCTTTCTAAGATTGATGCTGCCAACAGATTTTTATTCATTTCAGATAGTGATTTGTTTTTCAAAGCCAGAAATGTTTATGAGACAAATCTGTATTTATTGCTCACAAGAAATACAGCTGACCAGCAGTCCCCAGAAACAGGTGGGGGAGGAGCAACACTTTATATGTTCTTCAAGCTGCCAAATCAAATTCTCCTCTACAGGTAGGATGGGTTCGATATAAAATGTAATGTTTGTGAAACTCTTACATTTTAGGATCTTTAGGAGCAGCTCTAATCAAATTTTGATAGAAGTGCAAACAACCAGCAATTTTTTAAAAATTTGCATTTTTTTAAAAGCCACACTATAATCAGAACAATAATTCAGCCCATTCTAATACTTTTAGATCTGGGATTAGAGCTGAACAGCTTCATGATCTAGAATCCTTCAAAGCTGAAAATTCCTTAAACCCACTCATGTCAAATTCAATGTTAAAGCACTTTATCCATCCCTTAAAAACCTGAAAAAGGCATATCAGGTCAAATAGCAGAGGCAAATTTTATTTTTAAAGTCTACAAAAGTATTAAAACTGCTAAATAAAAGTGACTATGAAGTTTAAATATCAGAGCAGTTTCCTTATTGTAAAATCCAAATTCAATTTATACAGCACTTTTACAGACTTGATGATGCAGAAATAAGACACCCCTCATTGAACTGAATGTCAGATCAGGTGAGATCTGGGACCGTCACTCCATTGGTGTCTCTAGATTAGGTTTGCTAGGGGGGCAGGGTTTTTCCATCAGGCAAAAACAAAAGATTTCAATAATAAAGAAATACAAATGCTGAGACATTTATACAAAGAACAATTTGCCGCTTTGGAGCTGCAGGTTATAGATCGCTGATTTAGCACTGTGGCTCCCAAAGTGGAGGATGCTCCCTCTATGAGGAGCTCCGTGTAGAAGTGCAGGTAGTAAAATATCATTGTAAATATGTTCCATTGTAAGTATTGTAAATATGGTGCTGCTCAGTGATGCAGTGCATAGCACTGCTGCCTTGCAGCAAGAAGGTTTCAGGTCCGATTCCCGGCTCGGGGTTCTTTCTGCATGGAGTTTGCATGTTCTCCCTAAGCATGCGTGGGTTTTCTCCGGGTACTCCGGGTTCCTCCCACAGTCCAAAAACATGACTGTTAGGTTAATTGGCTTCTCTAAATTGTCCTTAGGTGTGAGTGTGTGTGTGAATGGTTGTTTGTCCTATGTGTCTCTGTGTTGCCCTGCGATGGACTGGCAACTTGTCCAGGGTGTACCCTCCCTCTCGCCCATTGACTGCTGGAGATAGGCACCAGCACCTCTCGCGACCCCAATTGGGACAAGCGTGTAAGATAATGGATGGATGGATGGATGGATGGATGGATGGAAATTCTCCTTAGGTGTGAGTAGGTGTGAGTTAGGTGTCTCTGTGTTGCCCTGCGATGGACTGGTGACCTGTCCAGGGTGTACCCCGCCTCTTGCCCGTAGACAGCTAGAGATAGGCACCAGCACCCCTCATGACCCTGCTTGGAATTTGGATGGATGTAAATATGTTTTCTTTCTCCAGTTTGCTTTTCTTTATAAATGACTGTCCAGAGGGGGGTGAAAAAACTTTCCTTTAAAACCTAGAAAAGTTTGGGAACCAAAGATCTGGCAGATGAGAACCTTGTCAATACAGCTAAAGTTAAAAGTGAAGCAACACAGAATAAAACGCTGAAAAACTAGAATTGGTCTGACAGTCATCAGTTCTGTACCAGCGCATATTATGAGGTCAGAATTCTGCAAACATGTAATACTCATATAAGGAGTTTTATTTTCTTTAAACACACACATGAACACTCTCCTCAAAGTTTTATGCATTCTGATTCCATATTATGAGGCCCCCAATACCGTATGTCACAAGTTGATGATCCTCTCATGTCGATGTGTTTCTGTGACTACTAGCTTGTTGCTAAAAGATTTGAATTTTATCAAGTGAATTAGTTTTTTAATTTAATTAATTTAGTTTTTTTTTTGTTTTTTTTTACTTTAGTTAGTTTAAGGAGCATGAACTCATGCGTGACACGTTCAAAGTGCATGTGGAGAGTAGTTTATGTGTTTGTTTGGAATAAAACTGTTTGTATTATTATTTATTACGTGTCAGCTCTTTTGGCAGAAATCTGAATTCATACACTTCATTATCCTTAACTGATTTGATATGATGTCTTTAATAAAGGGGCCAAAACAGGGTAAAGGACCATATTTTCAGGGGCGTTGGCCCCTGTCGGCCCCCTTCTAGAACCACCCATGCATCACTCCAAATCTGTCATAGCTTTCAGTTTGCAGCTGACAAAAAATCAAGCATGTGTCCTAAAATAGTATTTTTTTATACCACGACTTGCAGCATCGAATTTCAATTATTTAGTTTTTAGAAACATCAGGTTCAGCGTCTTTCTCAGTGAATTTATTAACATTGATAAACAATATTTTCTATTATATACAACATGCCTTCTGTAATACATTATTTCTCTACTCATACACATCTCAAATACACCATTTAAAATAAATAACTTAATAAATATAATAATAAATAGCAAATAGTTGTTTGGAAAGTCCTCCAGTTCGAGTCTGTGGTGGAAAAACAGGATGTCTTCTGGGAGCATGTGTCAAAATTACAATTAGAGGTCAGATAGAAACTTTGGGAAATACCCAAAAAAAACCTGAGATGTACAGCAGCAGTTATCACAACAAAAAGTAATCCAGTGCTCAGACTGCAGTCCTACACAGTTAATCCCAGAGCTGCTGTGTAATTGTTCAGACTTTGTTCACCGTCTTTTGTATGGGGTCATGAGTGTGATTTGGAGGCCAGTAGAAGGAAGTCTCTTGCTAGTTTTGTGAGGTAAAGGTGTAAATCTCTGAGAATGATGTAACCTTCCACTCTGCTTTCCCACAATGTTCTGGAGCTCCTCCCAAGGTTCTGTAGTTCTACACAAGGTGCTGGTTTGACCCAAGACCTTTTAATGCCTCTCATCTGGAGGAAGGAAAACAAAGCGAAACTCATCAGGCCAACTGCAGCGTCGCTTCCTGTAAACTTCATCTGGGCTTGAACAGGAAGAGAGACCAAAATAATTTTTAGTAAGAACCGTGTATACCTCACTGTTGACTTTCTTCATCAGGTCGCATAAGTCATGCTGAACGTGCCTGATGCTCTCAAGCAAACTGGGGTCCGTCTGCACGTCACGCTCCTGCTCCAGCTGTTTTCTTTTCCACCCCAGCATGCTCCAGTAGGTCTGGATGTCCCCTAAAGCTCCGTGCAGCCGAGTCCAGTCCTGAGCATTCAAAAGCAGACAGTTACATCACAAAGGTTTTGCACAAATCAGTCTGCACATGTCTGCAGCCCTGAACGGGGAATTCTGCATGATCACTCATTAGATGATGTCACCAGACTTTTTTTTCAAGTGGAAAAAAAGCAAAAAATACTTAGAAATTTAGATTTTTCTGAACTTGTTCTGGGACATACAGTACTAACCGTCATCTGAAACCAGTTGTTGAAATCTGTGGAAAGCAACGGCAGATCCCTCAAGTGGTAGCTATGGTCCTCTAGATGGATGTTCCCCATCTGCAGCTTCTTTATCAAAAATAAAACGTTGTGTCAGGTATGAACAAAGATAAAGACATGAATGTCCATTTAAAAAAAATAAAAAAAACCTACATATTTCTCCAGGAGGTGCTGCACACTCTTCCGTGTGGTTCTTGTGAGATTAAGTGAATCATTTTTGTTTTTCTGAGCAAACTGTGACGTAGGAGCAGATCTCGCAATGCCCAGTGCCCAACAAAAAAGGAACAAACGGCTCCAATTGGTCATCTGAAAGAGGCACGGATTAACATGTTCAATAAATCAAAATCTGAACTAGGCTAAATCAGGCTAAATCTTCTGAATATAGAAAATAAAACAGATGTGACATTGCATGCTTATGGGGAGTTTTCAAATATTTCTGTAAAGAAATTCCACACCACAGCGTTAATTTTTCCCCCAGTCATTTGCCTACCAATAGTCTTCATTTCTTATGCAATTCAATACCGCTGCTGCTGTCGGAGTTGCACGCATGCACAAAACAGAAGTGAACCAATTCTTCTCAGCACTTTCACTCTGGAGGCAAGCATTCTGGTGTTGGTTTGGTTCTGCATCTAAATATGCATCTGTGCAGGCAGCAGAGGCCATTCAGGCGGGATGCAAAATTCAGACTGGAAAATGTAAAGTTTCTTTCTTCTATGGCTTCTGTGGTTCCTCGAAGAAAAAAATGAAGCAAATCTTTCCATTTTTGCTGCTGATTTTATTATCAGTTAGAATTGAACTACCAGAGGGCTGAATGCAACTACTGATCCAGCATTTGTCTTGATACTCAGTGACTCTGTGTGTCTAAAAGAAGGATGAAACCATTAGTTTCTCAGCAGATAATAGGTGATAAGAAAAGCCTAGTTCAGGGGTTCCCAAAGTGGGGGTCAGGACCCCTCAGGGGTTACAAGAACCCAATGAATGTGATGGGAACCCTGAGGTGTATGGGTTATATATATATATATATATATATATATATATATATATATATATATATATATATATATATATATATATATATATATATATATTATATATATATATAATATATATATTATATATATATAATATATATATATATATTATATATTATAGTATATAATATATATATACTATAATAAAAAATAAAAAGAGACATAGTATATAATATAAAATTAAATTTTAAAATAAGACATTAAATAATTGCAAATATATTTAAAGTGATCAATAAAGCAATTAAATGTCTTTTTAGAAATGTTATTGGATTTAATAATGAATGCAATAACCTAATTTTATATTTAGAAATAAATACAGTTAAGTAAATACATCTACTTTCAGAGGATCTCTAATCTGTTGCAACAGGGAATTATTGATATTATTGGTGACACCGATTAAAACTCCGCCAATCCATATATATATATATATATATATATATATATATATATATATATATATATATATATATATATATATATATATATATATATATATATATATATATATATATATATATATATATATATATATATATATATATATATATATATATATATATATATGGATTATTATTATTATTATTATTAGACAGCTCATCTTAGTAAATAAGGTAATTTGGTTAAAAAAAGACTCTTTTCTCAAAAATATTTTAAGATATATAAACGTAGTAACAGCAGGAGAACAGCAAAATCCAGCATTAGGAGTAATGTTGCCCAAAAAAAAAATATATATATATAAATATATAATATTAAAAAAAAATGTATATATATATATATATATATATATATATATATATATATATATATATATATATATATATATATATATAGATATAGATATACACTTTTTTTCAGGTTTTAAGAAAATGTTTATACATCTGCAGTCAATACTCTGAGCAGGCTGACATCTATATCTAGATACAGACATAAAGAGACAAAGAGAGAATGATGAATATGTAATTGTTCAGGCTTACCTTGAAGGAGTTGTGAGCAGCACACTAATGATTCAGTAAAAATCCGAGCGACATATATATCTTCATGTTATGCTTTCAGTTTCTCTCTCCTTCTAAGGCTTTTTCTTTTTTTTCATCTTGTGGTTACTGAAGTGTTTCTCAACGAAACAAACTGTGAGTTTAAAACAGGAAGTTATATCACAACCTGAGAAAAAATTGCCAAAATTTAGGAAAGAAAATCAAGTCTGCAAGGATAAAACTGCGGTTAATCCCACAGTAATATCTAACAAAAACATTAATTCTAAGTACTTGAACTTCTGCTTTTTGAGGATGTTAACTACAGCCTTGACTGTGCATCTTAGGGGAATATTTCAGGAGTCCCATGATTCTGATAATCAATTACTCAAACAGTTTCACTGAATCTCACAAACAGAGAAAAAGCTACTAGAAATTACCCCGTCATCACGATTACTTTGGTCACTCTAATTACTGGAAATAGTTTTATTTTATTTTATTTTTTCTAAGCCAGTCTATCTGTTGAAGGAAAAATAAGAATGAAAGAAAACAATATGGCTTCTAATATTAATGCTGAATTACTGTTATCATTATATTGTTGTTATTATTTATACAGGAATAAACTTTCTTATGCATAAGACTTCAATAAATATGTGAACCAACTCTGCATAGGTTGTGATGCTGTCTTATGCTTTACCAAATTATCTTTCATACATTTTTGTCTAATAGGTTCCCTAAAGACCTAAAGTTTCTGAAGGTTCAGTGAAGTAAACCCAAAAATGATTGCACACATTTACAAATCCAAAAATGATAAAAGCGCTGTCGAAGAAGGGCAGAGAATTACAGGACAGATGTCTGGAACAACAAAAAGGACCCAAAAGGCATGTATTCTTCCAGCAAAACTGTTATTAACCTTTTACACAATTTAATTTAGTACTCTTATTTATAATTAATCATAGAAATAAGTCATGTTGGTATATTTTCATGAAACACAATCGGCTTTATGTATTTCTGGTTGTGGTGAGCAAATAAGCTGATAGTACAGATCAGGTAGTGACACCATTGATCATATCTTTGCTGAGTTCTTGTTTTGAATGCATGCATAGTACAATGTTCAAATCATGTTTTTTTTTTATCTCCTTCCTCTTTGTTTCAGTTAAAGGTGGTTGGTGAACAACAATTTGGCACATTTCTGCAACCAGCTGGTAAGGAGTGTAGCAGCTTCAACAGGGGTTGTAGATTTGTACTCCTAAATTTGTGATTTGTACTGGTAAACCTTCGGCTTGTGTTTGTAAATGTGTGATTTGTTCTATTGATCATGTGATTTGCACTCATAAATTGAATATTTGTGATTGGTTATGATAAATTTGTCATTTGTGTTTGTAAATGTATAAATTATACTTGTAAATTTGTAATTTTTACTTCTAACTTTTCGATCCATACTTGTAAAGAAGAAGAAACTAAGAATAATAAACCTCTTAAATCAACTTCTGACATCTGGAGCCCAATTTCTTCATAAATTGCTCTAAAATTCATCAGTTTTAGACTTAGACTTGATCAGAAGAATATGGTGCAAATGCAATAGAAAGATTGAGTTAAGTTCTGTTTAAAAGGGATTTGAAAATTGACCATGGGAATGGCAAATTTTGGGAATGGGAATTCATTGTGAAGAATTTTATGAAGATAAAAGATTAAGATAAAAATTCTAACTTTATTTTAAACTGGAGCAGGTTTCAGAGCTTCAGAAATGGGATTAGTTTAATCAATTCCTAAAGTAATTGGCATTTAGGTCATTAGGAGCATAAGGGGAGAATTTTAAAGTGTAAACCAATTTAGGCCACAGATAGAAAGCCTGATCAACATCCCAGGTTATTCATCCAGAACACATCAGGTAGCAGAGGATGATGGAGGGAAAAACAATCTTAGACCGTAGACAACTTTTATTGTCATTTTTTAAACACAGAGTGAATAGAAATTTCATTTTGTACATTTATATTTCTTAGAATGCAGCATTTCTCAAATGTAAACAGTGTGGGGGGAAAAAAAAAGATGCCGAAAAACGCATTGATATGAAATCCCAGCTACCTGACATATGAGTATGAGGTCACTTTAATGTATTAAAAATGAATTCCTTTCATTATTTTACCAAATATTTTACCTGTGATCCTATAAGTGTTGTTATCCAAAATGATGCTCCCCTTTTTACTTAGGGTGAACTATCAGCTACTGATAACCTTAATCAGATTGATTACCCCCCCCCCCCCCCCCCCCCCCCCCCCAGGGGAAAAACATTTTTTTAATAAACAGCAACAGTTGATCTTAAAGTTTCCCAAGATAACTGCAAAAACTCAATGCATTACACTTTTTGAATACAAACCATATGTTGTCATATTCCACTGTATATATATATATATATATATATATATATATTTAATTTTTTTCTTCCTTTAGATTTGGTAACATTAATAAGTTCTTAGATATTCCTAAATGAAATATATATTTTTTCTTCAAAATAAATTTAATTAGGTTTTAAATTTCCTAATAAACGAAAGCTTTGTTTTATTTTATTTTTTTATCTCTTTGTTGATAATGTTTTATATTTCCAGGGCATTTTAGAGCAGATTGCTTTAAATTTTCTTTTAAAAGATAAAATCTCTTTTGGTTTTCTTTAAACATTTTTCCATGTTTATGCCTCTCATTGTAAGAATTTCCAGTTGATTTATTATTGTGGGAACATTTTAAAATTCGACAAAAATAATTGCATTTTGTCATCTTCATATGAAAGCTGAATGGTTCTCCATCACAGGTTTCAGTGTGTATTGAGGAGCGTTTCACTATGACACATCAGGGTTTCACCGATGCTGAGCTGAGGAGTTTCTTCACTCTGGACCAGATGATTTTCAGGCTGTTGAATTCATGTGTTGCCGCCGCTTTTAATAACAGCATAGAGAGATTTCTGCCGCTAACAAAAGTTATGTAATCCTGTCGTTTTGTCTTTCATAGAGAAAAATATTTCTCTGACATGATTTCAAAATCAACTTATTCCAAATAAACCAAGAATGTCCATCTATGGACTCTGCGCTGGAATCACATGTCACCCTTCAGAGTCATAGAATACATAGAATAGATATTGGCACATAAGCTAAACTGATTTCTGTGAATATAGATGCCACTTGATGACTCTTTTGTAATAAAAAAAAAACGAGACATTTGATTTAGCAAACTTCCTGTGACTTCATCACTGAGGAAACTACTGATTCTTGTGATTTCTTGTGCACTAAAACCACCTAAAAGCCCCAAATGGCTAAATTTGGCCATGTTTAAAGAAAAACAACTATGCTTTATTCTACATAAATATTAGGAATATTAAAGTAATAATATAACCTTAAAGGGGTCACAGAATGCAAAACCGAGTTTATATTGTCATAGATGAAGTTCAGTGAGTGAAATGGACGTACAGAGAAGTTCAAACCCCATCGACACCTCCTTTATCTGCATATCTCACAATTCTGAACTACCAAAATAAAACAGACGAATACAAACGAAGCACCAAATTGACGTCATTTCGGGGATGTTGC